TTTTCTTATATATAGAATTTATATTTAATATATTTGTTGGCAACTGGTTTAAAATGTTTGCCAATTGTACATCTATCCTTGCTTTCCCATAGTTATTCCTGAATTTATTTACTTTATATCGTCCTTCTGCACGACGTCTGGTATTATAATGATGGTTTATTTTCTCCAGATATCTGTTATCTTGGTGAAAATTATTAATTAATGTCATCTTATAAATGCTGTTTATATTGAGAATGTTTAGGTGTTTTGCAATTGGAATATCGTTGGTGGATCTGTTGCTGTTGTTGGCTTGGGCAGTGCTGTTTCTGTTCAAACTGTTGTTAGGGCTAATATTGTTGTTTGTGTTGGTGTTGAGAATTGAGCTGGTGCTTGTAGTGTCGTTGCTGGTTGTGTTATCGTTGTTGGTTGGGTTAGTGTTGATGTTTGGCCTGGACGTGCTGCTTGAGTTGTTTTCATTGGTATTGTTGTTAAAGCTGGTGTTATAGTTTGTAGTGGTGGTGTTGCTTATGCTGGTGATGAGGTTCGTAGTTGTGTTGTTGTTACGTTAAAGTTTTTATATTACATGTATGAATCAGTTTTTGCACATTTTGATTTAAGTTTATTGCGAAATTGTTTAAAACATCTTGCAGATTTTCATTTTTAAAATTATTTTTTATTGTATCATCAAGATTTATTACTTTTTTGCCATTAATTTGATTTATTAGTTGCCAAGTTATTCTGATATTACTTCTATTTTCTATGAATTTTTTCCTATAGTAATTGTTTTTAGTTAAATTAATTTTTTTATTCAGAAAATTCCTAAATTTTTTATAATTTTCTTCATGTTGTTTATTTTTTCTATTATTAAGCCATATTCTATAAAGTTTATCCCGTTTTTCACAATACGATATTAACTCATTGTTTATCCACGGATTAGATTTTCTTGTTTTTTCTCGGTTTTTAACTATCACTGATTTAGCATATATATCACAAAATATTGCATTAAAGCTATTAAACAAATCATTTACATTGTTGTTGTTTAATAGGTTGAGCCAATTTGTTTTATTTATTAGTTCATCTACTTTTTTATTATTTATTGTTGATTTTTTACACGAAAAGTTTGGGACTCCCTGTTTATCTGTGAAATCATTAGGAGATCTCTGTTTGTTTATGTTTTCATTTTCTCTTTCTTCATCTTTTATACAACAAAGAATACTGTAGTGGTCAGCTATAGTTGTTGTTATTACAGCTGAGTAGCCTGATGATTTATTTTTATTGTCTCTTACAAAACAATGATCGATGCATGTACGTGTGTTTGCTTGTGCATCTTCACGTGTGCTATCATTTACAACGCTCTCTAAACCATGTGACATCATCATATCGATATAATTTTTTGTTGTTAGATTGTTTTTGAGAATATCTATGTTTATATCGCCAACGATTACAGTTTCTTGTTTTCTTTTTAAGCTAGTAATTACTTCATCGAGCTCAGAGACAAAGAGTTTACATTAGACGAAGGGGGTCGGTATATTGATAGAAGAGTGAGGGGTTTATTGTTTAACATTACATCTACATTTAGCATTTCAAAAGTGTTTGTGTTTACATTTTTTCGTAAATGTCAGTTCTTCTCTGATATATATTGCAATACCTCCGCCAGAACCTTCTCTATTTAGGAAAAGAGAGTTGAAGCCGTTTATTTTGTAAAAATCTGTTTCAGTATCATGTATATTCGTTTCAACAAGAACAATAATTTTTAATTTGTTCATTATATTGTGTATTGTAGCGAGAAAAGAATTAAAATGTTTGCGGATTGAGCGTATATTCATATATAGAATTGTTAGTGGAAAACTTAAATATGTTTTTTTAATTTGGTTACAATTGTAGTGTTTTTCTTGTGTGAAATTCATAATATTGTTTTTATATAAAATGGAAAATTGTTTGTGGGAGAAAGTTTAATGACATTACCAGGTCTACACAAATGCTGGGGAGTGGGGAAAAGTTTAACGACGTTGACAGGTCTATGCAATAGTTTCGATATCAGCTGCGTTTTTAATTAAAATTGCTGGAGTATTTTCAGTTTTTCTGGCAAATATTGATCCATTTCGTGACCATATATATTTCCAGTTGTTTTCTTTGGCTTTTGTTTTTGCAAGCCAAAGAAGTTTACGATTAGGAGCAGTTAAACAATCATTTATATAAATAAATCCGCTATTGTTGTCATAATTAATTATGCTACCTTCAATTCTATGGCGTTTGATTCTTCCCATAAATTCCTTTTTTTTTGATATGGGTTGTAAATTCAACAAAAATTTTGTCTTTGACGCTTTTTAGACGGTAAACATCGCTGATATCATATTCAGTAATATTTACATTTATTGACTCAGCTATTTTTTTAACGATATCATAAGGTTGCATTTGTGTGTTTTTTACGTTTTTTATACCCACCATCAAAAAAGATGGGGGGTATATTGTTTTTGTCATTCCGTTTGTAACACATTGAAATATTCGTCTAAGACCCATAAAAGTATATATATTCTGGGTCCTTATAAGATTCTAAGACGATCTAGCCATGTCCGTCCGTCTGTCCGTCTGTCCGTCTGTCTGTCTGTCTGTCTGTTGAAAACACGATAGAGTCCAAATGGAAGCAGCTAGCGAGCTGAAATTTTGCAGAGATACTTCTAGTTGATGCAGTTTGTTTGGTATTGAAAATGGGCAATATCGGTCCACAATTTCGCCTAGCCCCCATATAAGGCCCCCTTCAGAAAATGACTTTATCGCTCATAACTTGCTAAGGGAAGAACCAATAGCGGTGAAATTTGGCACAAATATGTCTTATGGGAACCTAAATCTCTTCGTAGAATTTTATAAGGATCGGTCCATAATTGACCCTACCCCCCATATAAAGTCCCCTACAGAAAATGACTTTATCGCCCATAACTGCCTAAAAAAAGCATCAATAGCGGTGAAATTCGGCACAAACATGTTTTATGGGAACCTAAATCTCTCTGTAAAATTTTATAAGGATCGGTCTATAATTGACCCTACCCCCCATATAAAGTCCCCTTCAGAAAATGACTTTATCGCTCATAACTTGCTAAGGGAAGAACCAATAGCGGTGAAATTCGGCACAAACATGTTTTATGGGAACCTAAATCTCTTTTTAAAATTTTATAAGGATAGGCTCATAATTGACCCTACCCCCCATATAAAGTCCCCTTCAGAAAATGACTTTATCGCCCATAACTGGCTAAGAGAAGCATCAATAGCGGTGAAATTCGGCACAAACATGTTTTATGGGAACATAAATCTTTTTTTTAAATTTTATAAGGATCGGTCCATAATTGACCCTACCCCCCACATAAAGTCCCCTCCAAAAATGACTTTATCGCTCATAACTTGCTAAGGGAAGAACCAATAGCGGTGAAATGCGGCACAAACATGTTTCATGGGAACCTAAATCTCTTTCTAAAATTTTATAAGGATAGGCTCATAATTGACCCTACCCCCCATATAAAGTCCCCTTCAGAAAATGACTTTATCGCCCATAACTGGCTAAGAGAAGCATCAATAGCGGTGAAATTCGGCACAAACATGTTCTATAGGAACATAAATCTTTCCGTGGAATTTTATAAGGATAGGCCCATAATTGACCCTACCCCCCATATAAAGTCCCCTTCAGAAATGACTTTATCGCCCATAACTGGCTAAGATAAGCATGAATAGCGGTGAAATTCGGCACAAACATGTTCTATGGGAACATAAATCTCTTTGTAAAATTTTATAAGGATAGGCCCATAATTGACCCTACCCCCCATATAAAGTTCCCTTCAGAAAATGACTTTATCGCCCATAACTGGCTAAGAGAAGCATCAATAGCGGTGAAATTCGGCACAAACATGTTTTATGGGAACATAAATCTCTTCATATAATTTTATAAGGATCGGTCCATAATTGACCCTACCCCCCATATAAAGTCCCCTTCAGAAAATGACTTTATCGCCCATGACTGGCTAAGAAAAGCATCAATAGCGATGAAATTCGGCACAAACATGTTTTATAAGAATTAAATCTCTTCGTAAAATTTTATAAGGATCGGTTCATAATTGACCCTACCCCCAATACAAGGTCCCCCTTCAGAAAATGACTTTAATGCTCATATCTGACCTGAAGAAACATATGTATGTGCATATATATAGCAATAAAATTCGACATGAAAAATTTTTATAGGAACTAAAATCATTTTCTTAAATTTTATGAGGGTGGGTCCATAATTGACCCTACCCCCATATAAGGTCTCCTTCAGAAAATGACTTTAAGGCACAAACTAGTCTTGTGTGAGCCAAAAGTTCTTTATCAAATTTTATAAGGATCGGTCCTTAATTAGCCCTATCCCCCTTGTAAGGTCCCCTTCAGAAAATGACTTTAAAGCTCATTACTAGCTTAAAACTGCGAGTACTGAGTACGACATGAACAATTTTCGTATTAGCTACAATCTCTCACTAAATTTTATGAGGATCAGTCTGTAATTGACCATACCCCCCTATAAGGTCCCCTTCGGAAAATTACTTTAACGCTCATTACTGACTCAAAAATGCTATTACAGCAGTGAAATTCTACGTAAACAAGTTTTGTACTAGCCAAAAACTATTTATCACATTTTATGGGGATCGGTCTATAACTGACCCCACCCTCCATATAAGGTCCCCCTCAGATAGTGACTGTAACGCTCGTTACTGGCTGTAACGCTCAAATGCAACTACAGCGATGAAATTTCACATAAACAAGTTTTGTATGAGTTTATGGTTATAAATATTGGATCAAACAAAATTAATATTTTTAATTCGGAAGAGCACGGTCCATGCTTAAGCCTTTATTAATTTCCCTCTTCCAAATATTTCCCTGATGTTCATAATAATATCGACATATGATTCAACATAGATAGATAATATCAACGTTTATTTATAAGAATGATTTGATGGTGGGTATATAAGATTCGGCATGGCCGAATATAACACTCTTACTTGTTATTTCTATTTTTTTGCTTAGCATCTGTTGTTGGATATTATTAATTTTAGTGTCCATTTCTTTTATCTCTTTTTTGTTTTCCCTATTCTCTTCTCTCATCTCTCCCATTTGTCCTAAGAGATTAGAAAGAGTTGTTGTTATTTGAGAAAGGGCAGTTTTCATCTCTTCTTTAAAATTATCATCAGATTGGCCAATTTTGAGAGCTAATTGCTCAACGAAGGTTTTTAAATCAATTATATTTGTTTTGACACCATTAACTTCAGTCTTCACTTCGTTGACATCAGATTTAAGCTCGGCTTTAATTGTGCAAATACTCGATTGCAACTCGTTTAGAGAAATTGAGTCTTTAAAACGTTTAGTCTGCTCATTTTCATTACCATCATTCTCCCTTATTTGCTTTTGTTGTTGCTTCTCCTGATATAATACAACTTCATAGGTGTTGTTTGTTGTTGATTTAGCGCGGGGTTTACATAAATGACATTTCCAAATAGCCTTACGATCATTGTTCATGCTATTGTATGTTGATTCGGAGAGAGGACTGCAGGGATTGAAGTGGAAGCTGTTGTTGCAATTAAAGCATTTAACATAGTTGCTCGGTAAAGGTTCACTACACTGTTTGCAAGTACGTATGATGATTGGAAGAGAGACCATTTCAGATTTTGCTTTGAGCTAATTTTCGTTTTACGATATAGATTTATGTTTGTTATTTTGTATATTGAAAGGTTTAATTGTTTACTAAGAAAATCTTATTTTCACTGCACTTTATTTAATTTTATTGTTTTGTACTTTTGATAGGTATGATTTTATATATGTCTTTATATTTTTATTGAATTTTTATTCACTTTTAAGCGACTATTGTATACTATTTAACAAGCACTACTCAAACACGTCTGTATACATTCGCAGTTGAACTGAACTAGAACTGAACTAGAACTAGACTAGAACTGAACTAGAACTGAACTAGAACTGAACTAGAACTGAACTAGAACTGAACTAGAACTGAACTAGAACTGAACTAGAACTGAACTAGAACTGAACTAGAACTGAACTAGAACTGAACTAGAACTGAACTAGAACTGAACTAGAACTGAACTAGAACTGAACTAGAACTGAACTAGAACTGAACTAGAACTGAACTAGAACTGAACTAGAACTGAACTAGAACTGAACTAGAACTGAACTAGAACTGAACTAGAACTGAACTAGAACTGAACTAGAACTGAACTAGAACTGAACTAGAACTGGACTGGAACTGAACTAGAACTGAACTAGAACTAAACTAGAACTTTAACTGAACTAGATCTAGACTAGATCTAATCTAGAACTATTTCCATCATCGTTCTTTCAATTTCCTAGAGCCCTGCAGTTCTCCACTCGTGGCATAAAAGGCGCCTCATAAAGTTAGAGATAGAAAGCTCACTGCAATGAATTTAGACAGACCAGCCAAGAACATAATTTTCAGCAAGTGTTGCTCTAATTTAAAAACACTACATTCAACAATAATAAGAAGGACCATTCCATTAAAAGTTAGTTTTCAATGAATGCACACTCTCACTTGTAGTGAAATTCAAACATTCCAACATAGATATTCATTTATTATGCCGTATTCAAAGTAACATACATACTTCATTGTTCGCTCAAGCATGAACAGAGTAATGCTCATTAGCATTTTATGACGTTCGACGAACATTTCAATGATAATGATGGCAAGCGGACATTTTAACATTTTCAAACACACAATTTTTGTTACAAACAAGTGTTTTTTTTTTAATGTACATATTGGCATTGTTACTATTGGAAACTGAAGAGACATACAGGCGCTATTTGGGTAATTTCATTACAATTTGCTAAAAGATAAAAAAAATACAAGAAATAGCAAAGGCAAGAGATGGGTTTATAATACAGTAGAAAAGAAATGGACAGAGAACTAACTGAAATACTTAAGATGTCCCGAACAAGTGTTTGCTAGTGAAATCTTAAAATAAAAATTTCCTGGTAATATCCTTGTGCTTAGACATTCATTCCTTCAATCTACTATAAGTCCGTTAGGCTGTCAGCCAGTGTGGCAATCAATTTGTCTGCGAAAATCTTAGTCAAAAGCGATTGTGCGAAAATGAAATTAATACTTGTATATTTTATTACTATTTGATGTTTATGATGATGATGACGAGAACGCTGGCTGCCTGACTGCTGATGATTACAATGATGATGAAAATGATAGTGGCCAGCAAGTTTGTGTTTGATGTTGCGGAAATAAAGGGGGTCTTTAGAAGTGGAATGATTTTTGACCAAATTAACTAACTAACTAACTAACTAACTAACTAACTAACTAACTAACTAACTACTAACTAACGAACTAACTAACTAACTAACTAACTAACTAACTAACTAACTAACTAACTAACTAACTAACTAACTAACTAACTAACTAACTAAGTAACTAACTACTAACTACTAACTAACTAACTAACTAACTACTAACTAACTAACTAACTAACTAACAACTAACGAACGAACTAACTAACGAAACGAACTAACTAACGAACGAACGAACAACGAACGAACGAACTAAACGAACTAGAACGAAACAAACGAAACGAAACTAACGAACGAACGAACGAAAAGAACGAACGAACGAAACGAACTAACTAACGAAACGAACTAACGAACGAGAACGAACGAACGAAGAACGAACGAACGAACGAACTAACGAACGAATAACGAAGAACGAAAACGAACGAACGAACGAACGAACGAACGAGAAAGAACGAACGAACGAACGAACAAGAACGAACGAACGAACGAACAACGAACGAACTAAACTAACTAACAAGAACGAACGAAACAACTAACGAACAACGAAAGAAACGAACAAACGAACGAACTAACGAACGAACGAACTACTACGAACGAACGAACTAACGAACGAAAAAAAACGAACGAACGAACTAACTAACGAACGAAACAATAACGAAACGAACGAACGAACAACTAACTAACTAACTAACTAACTAACTAACTACTAACTAACTAATACTAACTAACTACTAACTACTAACTAACTACTAACTAACTAACTACTAACAACTAACTACTAACTAACTAACTAACTAACTACTAACTAACTAACTAACTAACTAACTAAACTAACTAACTAACTAACTAACTAACTACTAACTAAACTACTAACTAACTAACTAACTAACTAACTAACTACTACTACTAACTAACTAACTAACCAACTAACTAACTCACTAACTAACTCACTAACTAACGAACGAACTAACTAACTAACTAATTAACTAACTATAAGAAAAGTATTTGTCACTTTTCTCTTAAATACCACCTCCAACTCAAATACCCTGTCTTCTTGAATGCATTCATTTTTTTGCTACGAGGCGCACAGAAATTTATCAAAAGCTTTTTGCTTGATTGAAAATCATTGAAGTAGACAAGTATACAACATTGAAGTATCATATACAATGTTTATACATTGATATTTCCTAAAATTTTTAAGTGATTGCAAATGTGAACACGGTTTTTGGTGGCACTGCAGCATTATTAACTCATCATAGAGTGTGTCATGCTTTAAAAAAAAACTGTCTATGATCGGGCGGTTTTATGCTATTTTCTCGAACTAGTGACCTTAGACCTCCTATAGAGCAGTCAATTAATCCAAACGATTACACTTACAAAGGGATAAGAGGATACTGTAATACTTACTAGAGAATTTTTTCAGATAAGCTTGGTACATTGCTTTTCACCAGATGTCACAACGATTATGATGTACAGCAACACAAAATTCGGTGCAGTTTATTCCACACAGTTTCTGCCAAATTAAAAATTCCTATGAAAATTTTCGTGTTTTTCATTGAAAATGCCTGCATTCTCACTGGTGTTGATTTCAATGTGTCCAAAAATAATTCTACAATGTATTGACTGAAGACACTATATCTGTATTTGGGAAATACTCATGATTTTTAGTATTATCTACTCGTAGGAGTAAAATACAATAATGGTCAGTGACTAGAGCAATATTATATCTACGTATTTTTAGAAATGTAATTCAAACTGCTTGCACAAAACTTTTATGCAACATGGGCATAACTTTACACTGAAAATAATTCATGCCTAATATATACGAAAATTATTGTACAATGTTCGTAATACATATGAAAAAACATATTAGAAAAGAGTTTGATTAAATAATACTAGAGTTCGCCCAGCGGTCGAAATTCGACCAGAACCAATGCTGCAAAAATTGCATAAATATGCTAAAATAAAACCCTATTTTTGTAGTTCAAATCTGTGGTAAAAAATTAACTTTATTGATATCAAAGTGTATAATTTGCTTTGATTAATGTTTTCTTTTAGAAAATGTGATATGTTTTAGTAAAAGTCCCATCAGAAGTTTAAAACCTCAATTGTCAAAATTAGTTACACAACTTGTTTTTCAAAAGTATTTCAACTATTTTAAAAGTAAAAAATAACGAACATTTTTTCTATCAACTTATTATTCCCTACACATATACGCTACCTTCACAATGCTGGAGTATTTGGATGTCATTAGTAGTCCATCATCAGATATGCATATGCTGTATAAATTATCCCTTATAACACTCGATAAAAACAGCAGACCAACATTTATTAAAACACTCTACATCCCAAAAGACATGATTTATATTTAGCAATTTCATCTTTTTTTATATAGCATATAACCATCACCTATTCAACTTACAGTTTTCACTTTACACTACTATTTCCTAATTGGTTAGAATAACCCAAAAAAGAAGAATATCAACAAATCCTCGCTGTGCTAAACCTGCATATAAGCGATATACCTATCCATTTATTGCGGTGTATCATTTTCCGGCATGACCAACTAAACTTTACTTATACTTTATACAGGCTTTTTTATTACTTACTGACACTGAATCAATTCGTTAATCTATCATTTAAATCTTCCAAATCAATCAAATCTAATAATTATGTACCGCAATTCAGTATTTTATTTCACCGATTTTTTTTCGTTAAACAGAATTGAAAAGTATCGGCAGTGTAACGATCAATAAAAAGTTCACGTTAATAATTTTGTATTTTAAAAATATTTCAATACATAACTTTTGACATTCTTGTATTTTTCCGATCTTTGTCTTTAAAATATTATACGGTCGTTAAAAAGTTAGGGAATTGAAAATTCATTAACGTAACCGATATTTGTCATTACTTTACGATATCAATACTTAAAATTAAAAAAAATTACTGATGTCCTACCAATATTTTTCCAGGTCAAATACCAATATCACTACATTGTTTGACATATCTTGAGGTGTCCCCAAGCATTATTTACACATCTTTTTATATTCCCAGTTCGTTGTTTCCTCGGGAATGTACTTCAATTTAATAATCTTGAAAAGTTTAAATAACGAAAAAACCTCCAATAGAAAACTCTGAATATAAAACTGAAGTCCTAATTCTTATAAAAATAGTCCTTTCGATTTGGTAACAATCTTAACGATATTATAACAAAATAGATCATTATCTGATTCACAATTTAGCTCTTTACAAAAAAATATGAAGCAATAAAATCCTATTTTCGCTTTGCCTAAGCCTGTTTACATACATATTTGTTTACAAAAATCTTATTAAAA